TCAATCGAGGTGACATCATCAGTGCGTTATTGGGGTGCGTAATGATGCGTAGCGGTGGGTAAGTGGTTGTGCCTCAACTCTTTTGGTGATGAAACGTTTGCAATCAAATTGCCCAGCTCAGCGAACAAACCAACGACCATCTACGCTACCTGAGCTACCGACATTCTCCTCTACAGAAAATTCTGACTATTATGTTGTGGTCAGCTCTGCAACGAAATCTTATGTATTTGACAAAGGAAACATAACAATTTCCTCATTTTGAGAGCCGGCCTACACGGTGAGCCTCGGTAAAGTTGTTCAATTCAACGTCTACCTGTTATCTGGTGACACAAACTTGTCAAATTTCGTCCACTGGGATGTCAAACAAAAAGATAAACCAGATTTCAATTTGGATTCCCGTCTGAACATACAAAGGAATGTCGTGCAATTGACTGTGCATCATCGTCCGTAGGAGGCATGTGAAATGGGGTATGTATATGCATATAATGTAAGCAGGCCTTCGCTGCGGAGTTACAGACCAGTGAACAGAGAAGCAGAACTCCCACAGGCATTTTGTTTATAAAAACTAAATATCCGTCTTCTAGTTAAAGGCGTATTCCTGGGATCTCTTGGATATTCATCGACTATCACTCGAATGTGAATGAATACTACAAAGCAATACCATTAATTCCGTAATCAATCAATCAATCCCTCTTCCAATAGATGCAAAGCGGAGTTAAGAGAAAACATATTGCTCGCACGTCTCATCAGTAGTATCCACCGTTTTACCAAGACCAGAAGGCGGCCAACGCCAATAGGGTTCATACCGAAGGCCAGATTTTATTATATTGCCAGTGATGCAACAGATTACTAAGGCCGGTCTTTCTGGTCAAACTAAGCTTGCATCGGATGAAGACCGGAACTCTGTGGACGGGATAGGCAACGGTTCGACAGTGTATTGGAACACATGAACCTCGAGTAGCAATTGATTTGCAAACGTTTCCTCACCACTCGAGGAGACATCATCAGTTTGCGGCATGACCCAACCAGTCGCGTAGCTCAGTAGTTAGGATGCAGAAAGCTCCATTGTTCGAACCCACCCATTGTGCTATTGAGGATTGGACTATCCGTCACTAATCTGGCACTCAAAACTCATTAACCAATTGATTGGAAGAGGAAGACTGAACGAGGTCTGGCTCCTCAACTGTGATGTGGTGCAACAAAAAAGCGAGGAGACAATGGTTTCATCGTCATCGAAAACAGGTGTGAATCTTAGTCCAGGTGTGGGTACGGATGACTTGTCACCGGCATCGAATGACCAGAATGTTTTAAAAACCAGAAAATCAGATGTAGGAGAAATTCATTCAACTGTTTAATTAGTTCATATGTAGCTACACCACCAAACGTACTATTGGACAGTGTTGATAAGAGGATGAAAAACGGTGCTTCTAAGGCGAAGCAACCGTAGAACACATTTCCGCAAGGCTCCCAGAATAATAGGTAATTTGAAATTCCTGAAAACTGCTGCGCATTGCTTAGGTGTGGACGTACTATATTCTTGTTCTGTCATGACGTATTTCTCCCAGTGACATGCTGCTTTCCTGATTCGGTGTGTGAGAGCATTCCTTCAAGTATGAAGTAGAAAGTTAGGGTAAGCATTACGTGCACTGTCCCGCCAACCAGGTTTTGATGAGCCGGCACAATAGCAGTGGCTTAACTTATCGCCATACGACATCGTGACACAACCCTTTATCGGTGAAAGAAAAGTTCGTTCGCGAACTGGGCTTGCCATAGTCCAGTTCAACTTCCCCCGTTCATATATCATGTCACGAACACACAAGATATAGTAGGGCCATGAAAAGGTTCCCGGTGATTTATTCGCCTCTCTACCTGTCTACATGTTCTATCTGTCATTTTTGAGGTAGATGCCGTCCAACCTCGTTTCTCACCGAAGCATTTTGTTTTCTGTAACATTCAAAACAAAGACTTGTGTTGAATGGCGTTATGAATATCTGAACAGGTTGTTGCTCACTGGTTTCGTGAATTTACTGAACGGATAAGAACACTGAACACTTACCGTAGGACCTTCTTCCGGGTCGTTCGTAATCGTCTTCAGCTGAAATTCAAACAAATATATTATTCAGTCACCAAAAACACATCCCATCAAGTTTGCAACAACATGCCGGGAACATTCAAAGTCCAACTAATTCATCTGAATAGTACCATGATAGGTAAGCGAGTGCGCAAAGCATGTGATCCGGGCCATTGCAGAGTTCTGGTTGAATTCTGAACTGGTTTTGACAGAGTCCATGTTTAGAAGTACAGCGTGTATAAATCCAGCTGGCTTGCATACAGCACTGCCTAAATTACCAACGAACACAGCCCTAGACCCATTTGATAGTGCACGGACATCTGTGCGTAAACTGATACACTGGCCCAGTTTTCGAGATAACAGCTGTCCGGCCGAACACAGTTCCCGCGCTAGACATCAACGACATGAAGATACAGGCCAGTAGTACAACGCTGATGTACATCACAAATTACACATAGTTAGCTCAGACCATTCGCGGCTTTCTTCGACAACAAAAGCGACTTGTAACCCGTGGAACATAGGTGTTCTAGAGCATCAGAAATGAACGCAACCGAACTGCGTCAATTGTGCCGATGGAGCCAGCATCCCGTCTGCCTTGTTTTGCAATTCGTGTGCACCTCAGTAAACTCAGTGGTCAGAGGGCGAGCATGAGCCAACACGACAAGAAATGGGCTGCATTCCAGACAAATTACACAATCCCGCGCGCACACACACACATAACTAACACATGCACACATTCTGACCGCTGAATGATCACATGAACATACCAATCAGAAGGAATGATTGTGTACCCAAACATTGCTGGACTTGGCCCATTGAATAGATGATGAAAATTCCTGGAAGATGTTACCCACTGCCAATGAAACGTTGGATCATGGAATCTGACTCTACGAGTGGAGTTAAACGTTGGATCATGGAATCTGACTCTACGACGCTGTTCCATAGTGGAGTTGCCATCAAACTGCTGCAATATTACCGATTCCGTCACTCGTGGGAGGAACGACCGAACATCTCAGCTAGTTGTGGTCTGTGTGAGGCCATTCAAGAGTGGGAAAATTTCGGAACAAACCGAAGTGATTTCTTGTGTATTTGCCATTGGAATCCGCCACATTCAACAGGACTGTGTCGGGTTATCATCCCGCGATGTGTCGCACCCATACAACAACACAGTTCTCAAGATATAGTGAAATGCATTTTTGATGCCACAAGGGACGGAAATTAGCAAACGTGATTCGAGCCTTTGAGATTATTGCATTAACTTCATCAGACACACCTCCAGAGCTAACACGACTACCGAGCTATGTAAAGTTTTCAACAATCGTCAGTGATTCTCCTTGAATTATAAGGGATATGTTTGCAGATGGCCTGCTCTGAGGCCTGCTCTGAAGCATGAGCTTGCACTTTTACAATTTAGGGCGCATACCAAAGAGTGGTATGATGGTGTTCAGTTTATTTAACAGGGATTGTGCTTCGCTATGGTCTTCAAAGATGAGGGCGATGTCATCTGCGTATTCCAAATCGACAAGGCTCTTTCGAGCAACAATTTGAGCAGCGGAATTTTGAAGACCCTTCAGTGTTCGACTCAGTATTCCATCAATCATGAAGTTGAACAAAAATGGAGGGAGTGATCAGCCTTGACTGACACCACTTTTTGTAGGGAAGCTTTTGGANCATATTATTGATTGACGTTTGACCTCACCTCCAAATTATGCCTTTGTAAGATGGTGACCTTTTGTCAAGAACAGTTGGGTTAAGCTGAATTGTAGTTGACATGTATGAATTTTTCAGGTCACTACCAGAAACCTACGCTTCTCATAGTGATGTCCTGTGGAAGAACAGAGATGGAAAAAAACTATCGTTAAAAGAAGGCAAAATATTTTATGTCTGTAACAGTTTTGATGATACTGTGAGACTATCTGTGATACAGCATGTGACTCAAGGCCCACAATAGGAGAATTAGGTAATTTTCATAAAGATGTGAATAACACACCAGATAGCGTGGTTTTGGGCTCGTATGAGATACGTTTTTTAGAAGCTTGAAGTACCAAAGTGTGACAGCTGCTGGATCTAGCTGGTCGGTCTCAAACCCACTCACATCCACAGGTACCTATCTTCATTTTGCCTGCTAAAGTTGGGTGTCGGGATCTACAGTACCTCATCAGGTGAGTCGACTGGAATCCACGCGGATCCCACTATACCGC